CGTATCTTCATTTTTTTTGTTAAAAGTAGATGTATCGATTAGATGAATATTGTTGCATTATGATGTATGCACGTATCATACAACAACAAATTCCTCCTGCATATCTTTACAGTAGCTACTGGCGTTGAAGTTACACCAGAGCAAAATTACTAAATATATTATGATTTTCGGAGTTTAAACAGCTTGATTATAACATTTGTAAAGTAATTCGATTAACTTATTTGAAAAATAAGATTGTTTGTTAGTGCAGTCCAAATAATTCACGCAAGAATGCTTATATACTAAAGATTCTGAAGGATCTGAAACATTGTAACAATGAATTGCCCTTCTTGAATAAATATAGAAATCTATACAAAAGTAAGATCTTATGGAAGTGCATCAGAGAGAGATATATTTATATATAAATTTCCTAATACGAAATTTCTGTATGTTTGATTTAAATTGTACATTTAACGTATTACATTGGTTTAATATATAAGAGTCATTTATATACGTATTTTCCTTCGTAAGATACTTTGAGATGAATATGATGAATATGATTAATCCCCTTCGAACATTTTATTTTTCGTTAATAGTTATTGGTTTAACATTCACAAATGTGATATGTTTGACTCCTGATGGTCGAGTAGGACATGCTACCGCATTAATAGGGAGCAATCTCTATTTTTTTGGGGGTAATACCATGAAGCAGCCGAAGTTTACTAACCAAGTATTATATATTAATTTATCAAGTTCATTTAATATAATTTCACCTCCATGGGAACTTTCGGCAACGACAATTCCGATTCAACTTTATTATCCTATGGCATGTCCCTCTACTGACAAATCTACAGTTTACTTAGTTGGTGGATTGACACTGCACCAGAAAAATACATCAATTGTTATGCTTCCACAATCATCAGTATATGCATTAAATTTAAATACCTTACAATGGACAAATCCAAATATTTCTAATTTCAATAGTACATTTTTTGGACGTACAGAAATAGGTACAGTTTCTGATAATAATGGGAAATACTACTTCCTTGGAGGATTTAAAATAGACTTAACAACATTGTCCAATGGTACTCTTTATAATGATACAAATATATTTGACACAAATACAATGAAATGGTCAACATTAAATTTGCCCAATACCCCACTTGGTCGTTTAGATTATAGTGCAGTATTTAAAGATGGTAGTATATATTACATTGGCGGTGGAGGTGATGATGCTTTTGATTTGGACGAGGTATTTGTGATTTACATAATTAGCGTCAGAAAAAAGTTTTGATTTTATTAAATAATAATGTGCAATAAATAACTGGCTTAAATCAAGTAGATTTCAGTATTTGATACATCTGCTTTAAAATGGTTAACTGTGGTACGTACGTATTAAGTACGCATGTAATGTGTAATAGGATAATTTCTGCAAACTTAATATAATTCTGTTTGTTTTAGATCGCTCGTGGCGATTCAGTTGGAGCACGTAGTGGACATTCAGCTGTTTTAAGTACGTGCTTTAATATATAGTCTGGGCTTACAGTCAATGTTTACAATCGATTTACTGTAGAATGATTTACAATTACTTATTTATTATTATTACATTTTAATAGATCTACATGGGCAAATTGTTATTTACGGTGGACAAGGAAGCACCGGTGTTCAAGTACAACCTGATATCGCTATATTAAATGTGAATTCTACGCCGTTTATGTGGACGGCTATTACGGATAGACCACCACAAGTACTTATGTATCACACAGCAACAATGTATGGAAAATATATGATAGTTGCATTTGGTAATAATAGCATTTATTTTTTTAAATTTTGCTGCTGTCCAGGATTAATCCGAATACAGAAAAAACTTTAGTGGACTATTATTCACTAATGTTTTTATTATATTTTAAATTATTCTGTCTGAAGTACTAATTTTCTAATAATTTTTTTTGATTTAATTATTAATTATTCAATTTACTCTATGTTTTACTCTATGTTTAGGTGCAGTCGTTCCTTTAACACCACAGCCTGCATTAGTATTAAACAGTAATTTATACATATTTGACACAAAAAATAATACATGGATTAAAGGTTTTAATGCATCAGATCTAGGATTAAATTCAGAAGAAACTTCGGACAATAAGAAAGATAAAGGTCCAACCAATTCAACAAATTCCAATTCCAATTCTAATTCACTT